AGCTTATATCTGCAAAATACTGNGCAGCCCAGCTCCAGGTTGAGCTGTTGTTCAGCATCTTAGCTGTAGAGGGCAGTGTCACTGGCCCTCATATATGGGATCCGAACCGGGGCCCTCTAGCGCCCCAAGCCAGTTCTTAACCATCGCGCCACTCGGCCGGCCCTGTAATATCATTTCTTATCTATCAGATTGGCAAAAATTTAAGTCTTATATTCAGTTGGTGAGGCTGTGGGGAAACAGGCAAGACACTCTCACAAACTGCTGATGTGAACAGTGGAAACGCAAAATAGTGCAACCCTTAGGAAGGCAACAAAACTGCATCTACAATTACCTTGAAATATACCTTGAAGGTACACCTCTAACAATACAAAATACATTTACACAAGGTTAGTCACTGCTGTATTATTTGTAATTGTGAACTACTGGGAACCTAAATGCCTGTATATAGGAGTAGGTGAGTCAACCACAGAAGATGTTTAAAAAATGAGGAAGCTTCTATAAACCAACTTGGAATTGTTTCCATAGTGTTGACTGCAGAAAGCAAGGTACAAAAGCAAGACAAACAAAAAGTACGTACCGCATACTACTTTTTGTTGTAAGAAAGGAGGCAATATAGCATACATATATCTACTCATTTGTGTAAAAGGAAACAGGAAGGAGGAACCATAAACTAATGAGCATGGTTACCTACAGGATGGGTGGAAAGGATGGGAAGTGGGAATGGGAAAGGCGGTGAGAAGGCACTTTGCCTTTTGTACAGCTGTGCCTTTTGGGAGCTATCGTAATGTTGCACGCTCAAAACAACAATAACCTCAAAACCAAAGAACAAAATCAGTAAGAATGGGAGGGAACGCCTAAAATGGAATTAAAAAGCACTTAACTATATTTCAAATAACATAACCACACTGAAATGGGGGGAGAAAGGTAACTTTTGAACACAGAATTTTGACTATATTATCCTCAGACTAAGACAAAAGGAACTGTAAACAAATACTGAACTCTTGCTACTAGGTTTGTTTCTCACAGAAATGTGAGTTATCAATTTTTAAGCTCCTGTGGTGTAGTCTTGGATTGAGCAAATAAGTATATTGTGGAGAAGAGGGGCCAGGTTTCACACTGTTGGGGAAGGGAGTTACAAAAATGGAAAGACAGAATGCTGGACTAAATCATGAATCTTCGACGGATTTGCAGCAATCAGCATGATACCACCTCATAGCTTTGAATAGATGGATATAAAAAGACAGATATACACATATCCACATACATGTATTAGACAGACATGTATTTCCTAGCTCTGGCCACTGGGAGGGCCTAGAAACAATGACAGTAGCACCCAGATCTTAGTTTCTAAATATTATTTTCCACCAAAAGGAACCAAGGCTCCTTGGAGAAATGATGGGTCCCAGTGCTAGAAAGGACAAGATGAGCCTGTCAGAAATGAAGGAAGTGCTGAAAGAATGACAGGGATATGCTAACAGGACACAACAGCCAGGTTAAAGGGCCTTCCCATTGGTCAAAACTGAGCATTAAATACTAAAGGGCTATAATCCATAGACTAAAATAAGGATCCAAGAGTCCATTTAGATGAGGTCTTCCTTAAAATAGAATACCAACTCTCCCGTAGAAGAGGGGTGTAGCAGGAATGATGGGATTTAAGTGTCTTTTGGCAACGGGTGTAGTAATAACTGCCTCAGGAAAGAATGATAAAGATGCTAAAACCAGAGAGCGATAGTTTGATAAGAAACAGAATATTCACATAGTCACAAAATGCCTCTCCCAAAGAGAGAATAGTAACTTGAAAGTGAAGTAACCTGGCAGATACCAACCACCCTAATCAATCGGCAACAGGATAAAGGAAAAAGGAACCTTTTCAGAATCAAAGAGACTAAAGAGTCATGACAACTAAATGCAACATGAGATCATGGATTGGATCTTGGACCAGAAAAATAGTTTCCCTTTATTATAACAGTATTAGGACAATTGGCAAAATTTGAATAAGGTCTATCTGTAGATTAGATAAGAATATCATAACTAAAAAATAATGTGTTCTGCAAATATGACCCATAACACAAAATTCTTTGGTGGCATTCTGCATCTTTGAAAAACAAAGTACTAGGAAGATAGCCATTGATTCCAGGCCACACACAGCACTGGAGAGAATATAAATTCAGAAACACAAACCCAAACAAACAACAAAACGAATGCAGGACTACCATATCAGTTCTGGGTTCAAATCCCAGCTCGGCCACTTTCGGACTGAAAACACTGGATGTGGCCACTGGACCTCTCAAGCCTCGTTCCCATCAGATTTTCTGGAGACTAAGTCATGGCCTTCACTGGGAAGCTACAGAATGTATTCTGCAGGACTGTGTATATAAATAAATAGCCAATCATCTTTTCTGATCACTTCTATTTTAATATCAATCAGTATCACAAAACAATCCTAGACAGGCCTCTCAGATTTTAATACTATTTCCACTAAAATGCAATGAGTTGTCAGTTAAAAGGGGATGGTGGGGGGGGGTGTCCTTAGTAGAATGAGTTATAAGCTGCTAAATTTCCTTTAAATTCTCTAACATTGTGGAATTCCATTGGTTCTTCTGTAATAATTGTGATGTTTAAATTCTCTTTACCCCCCCCTTTGGGCATCTCTAATTTGCCTCGCATGCATTCTTTTGGAGTCCACGTCTTTGCATTTTAAATACCAGGACTCCATAAAAATAGCGATTTTGAATATATAACATCTCTGGAATATTTCTATCCATAGGCAAGTAAATATAGAAACGTTTATTCAGAGCTCACACTATGATTTTGCTTTATTATTCTAACAGCAAGGGAGTTTAGGAATAAGTCCCATGGAAGTGGATAGTTCTGGGATGATGCCAGCATGCCTCCTAGTGGACAGCACAAACCACTACATTTGTTAAGAAGGGTCAGGCCATGTTAATATTCACATCCACTGTTTACTTGTTAATCCATGAAGAATGAGGGGCTCTTTATATAAACGGATGCATGTGCTGCTACCTCTTTGGTTTCCTAAGCAGAGGGCAGAGACCACAATTAAGCCTTTCCCTGGGAACTTGAGTCCCTCTCCTCGGCCCCTTCACAGAACTTGATCACTGAGTCCCTCAGTTCCCGTTCAGTCCCCAGTGCTGCGCCGTGGCTGTGGGATGCCTGCTTTGTGCAGACAAGGACTCTGCATGTTTCCTCTACCTGCTAGTGCTCTTAACTGCAGTCTGAAGCTGGTGAGATCGTCAGCGAGCCTCACTGAACAATCAGGGCCTTATGAGGATGGGTCTTCATGGAAATTTTGGCCATCAATGAATGAAACAGCTTTACCCATTTTAAATAGGCCATTCTTTTAGTTGGCACTCCAGTGCCTATCATAGTTTCATCCATCTTTTTAAAAAAAATTTGCCATTTCTTGGAAATTAAAAAAAAAAGCCCTTTCAATAAAGACAAAAGTGGCTGAAATCGTGGCCAGCATGTTCTACATAATTCACATTCCTTAGGGTTTCAATTAGGTCTTTTTTAGGAAGAAAATGTTGTCCTCATTCTTTTCTGGCTCACAATTATACATTTCTTGACACTTTTCAAAATAGAGACACTGTTGGCAAGGGACTTTTTCACCTGTGGGCCTGAGAAAAAGCTCTAACTGTAATTATGTTAAGAGTGTATCACGACAGGGCCGGCCGAGTGGCGCGATGGTTAAGAACTCGCTTGGGATGCCAGAGGGCCCCGGTTCGGATCCCACATATGAGGGCCAGTGACACTGGCCTCCACAGCTAAGATGCTGAACAACAGCTCAACCTGGAGCTGGGCTATTCTGAGTCGCCGGCGACGGCGTGGGCTGCAGTCCCTGTGGCAGTGGATTGCCATGGGCTACCGTGTGTGGCCAGCAGCCAGCGTGAGCGGCCAGCAGCCGCAGTGAGCGGCCGTCCAGAGGCCGGCGACTGATCTGCCTCGCCAGAGAGGAGCGCAATGATGGTGCCAACTTGGGCCAGTGAAGCAACGTCCTCCACAACTAGATTGAAGAACAAAACGACAGCAACTTGTCTGTTCCCCTTTCCCCAATTCCCCAGCACTGTTCCCATCCCCCCAATTCCCCAATAAAAAAAAAAATCTTAAAAAAACAACAAAAACAAAAAAACTACATATAAAAAAAAATAAATAAATAAAGAGTGTATCACGACAGCCATGGGCATTTGCTCCTTACAGGTCTTCTTGTCGCTTTAATGACAGGGGACTATTACTTGCCCAGGTTCCATCTCAGTTACATCTGTTAGACTGAGACACGGTCAGATGAACAGTTCTATGGAGAAAACAGTCTCTCATTTACTTAATACCACACATTTCAGTCTACAGGTTAAGGATAATGCTGATTTAGAAAATATATTTTTTTAAGACAACTATGTGGAGAGTGGAGGGAAAGCCAGGGAGAAAGCAAGGGAAAGAAAAAGTTAAGGTTCATACTCAATTTGTAGCCTGAAGAAATATGGCGTTTATATTTCATTCAAAAATACTGGCAGGATCTACTACTTATAAAAAAGGACAAAGAACACTATTACACTCTAATACTGTAGTTAGATATTTTCTCCTGGGTAAATATATTTAACAACACAGCACTTAATTTTTTAAAGGTAAAATGTCAGAAATAGTGTGTGGGACAACAATCATGAGAGAAGTGATTCGTGATAAGTTGTTCAAAAGGTTACATAGCTTGGAAAGTAGATTGGGTGACTATAGCTTATTTTGATTCAACTTGGGAGGAAAGATGAAAAGTGCATGACAGCATAAGCAAAAGAAGATGGCAAAAATGAAAACAAATGCAGAAATGCTCCCCTGTTTGGGATTCATTCTTTTCTCAGTGACCTCTTGGGATTTTGGTTACTATTTTTAAGATTCTCCAGTGAAATTTTTTTCTAGGAGAATTAGCTCCCTAGAAAGAGCTATGAGGCTTTTTTTTTTTTTTAACTTGAAAAAAGACAGAACGTACATACTGCTTTACAACTGTTGGCTATCAGACTTGCAGTCTTCTTGAAGGTCTTTTCAAGGTAGTGTGCAAATCTTTCATTCTCATTCTCTTTTGACCCGAGCTGAAGAAATTCACCTATAAAGACGGAAAGGGATCATTTGAGATATGGTCTTATTGCCTGGCTAAATACTAAGATGGAATAAAAAAAGAAAAGTCAGAATTAACCTACCACGCACCAGATCTTCAATAACTTGTGTTAAAATAGATATAACAGTTGTATTTCCAATTCGTGCTAGAGCCATAGATGCTGCAGAAAGAATTAAATCTCCAGCAAGAACAGCCTAGAAAAGAAGAAGAAGAAAAAAATATTTCAGAGACAAGTGTCAGAGCAACCGTGCCAAGAATGAAGTTACTTCTCAGAAGATACAAATAAAATGGGAGGCAGGGGTCATCTTGGATGTTTTTACCCTTTTTCTTTCTCCCTAGGTAGGATTATGTAATAATTAGTCACAGATTTGGAACACCATTTGGACTGGCTTGGTTCTGAATGATTACCCGGTCTATCTCTGCACTTCAGAGCTGAAGAAATGATGTCTGGGGATGGACATTATCTTACCCTCTGGCTTTATCCCCTCACCCCGTCGAGAAGCAGCTGCCTTCAGTTTAGTTACGCTGGACCATTTGCTTTTCCCTCAAACCATTTTCTTGTGCCTTTGCACTTTGTGCTTCTTTTGCCCAAAAAGTCCATCCCCTTCTTCATCTAGCGCTCATTTGCGTAATTAGTTAACATGGCGTCTCCAGGAAATCCCTCAGTCTAGTCAGATGCCTCTCTTTTGTGGGAGCACAGCACCCCTCCTCGCACACTGCTGTCTGCACTTTCCCTCAATCAGGATTTCCTATTTGTGAACTCCTTCAGGGTTCAGACTGGGAATCATCTCATCTAGTACTTAGCCAGTGCAGGGCAAGACATGCTTTGCTCAAGGAAAACTAAACCCGAGACATCTGGGCTCCAAGTTCAATGCTCTCTGCCCTATACTACACTGCCCCTCATTCCTAGACAAAGTATCTTCCCCACTAGGTAATCAATATTTTTCCAGTCTTCTTTAGGTTGTGAGTAGATGTCTGTACTGTATTTGCAACTAATTAGAAATTATATTGTACATAATTGAATTATACACTGTGACCAAATACACTAACTTGTATATTGAAAGATATGCCTAAGTGTTATGCTATAGAGTAATTAGTTATAAGTGCTGCAGTTATAAGTTTTAATTCATAGAATTTTCAACATAACTACATTAAAAGTCTTTTTTATGACTGTTGGTTCTCTAGTATCTAAACTTAGTGTTCACTATGTTTACCAATTAATCATTATGTATATAACATATCAATATATACATATTTATAAAGCCATTTTGCAATTATGATATATATGTACACACACATATATTCATCGTCTGTGCTACATCATTAGCAGCTGAATGGATCGCTAGGCTTTTACCACCTTCTTTTCCTGGCCGTGGGGATCCTGGAGGCCAAAAGCTTCCAGCACATGGAACTGAAGCCACCAGATTGGGGCTGTCTGGGGTAAGGGGTTAAAGGAAGGCAGGGCTGGGAACCCAGGCAGGGTAACAGGGGCTCACCAATAAGATGCTGTGTGAATAGGTTTTTTTAAAAGATTTTTATTGGGGAATTGTGGGGGTGGGGGTGGGAACAGCGCTGGGGAATTGGGGAAGGGGAACAGACAAGTTGCTGTCCTTTTGGTCTTGTCTAGTTGTGGAGGACATTGCTTCACTGGCCCAAGTTTGCACCATCAATGCACTCTTCCCAGGCGAGGCAGATCAGTCGCCAGCTTCTGGACGGCCGCTCACTGGGGCTGCTGGCCGCTCATGATGGCTGCTGGCTACATACGGTAGCCCATGGCAACCCACTGCCCCAGGGGCTGCAGCTTACGTCATCGTCGTCGTCGCTGGCGACTCACAGCAGCCCAGCTCCAGGTTGAGCTGTTGTTCAGCATCTTAGCTGTGGAGGGCAGTGTCACTGGCGCTCATATGTGGCTTACAAATGAATTTGCAGGACTTGATTACACAACGAAGTCAAGGACATTAAAGCAAAACCAGCATGTGAAGGTTAACAATGAACATATATTGGGTTGTCAGGAAAGTCATGATGCATTTTTGCATTGAAAAACATAGAAAAATACGTCATGACTTTCCCAACGACCCAATATTTCTTCTTTTAATAAGGGCAATTAGAAAACGGCAGGAACCAGGTGCCATCAGTATGTGAGGGAGGGAAAGGTGAGGAGAGGGAAGCCTTGTTCATATTGTTTTGTTTGTGCTCAGAGGGGCAGAGCGGGTGGCAAATGGAAGCATGTGTGTGCTTCCAGAAGGCCAGGACATCTTCACTGTTATTTGTTCAACTGCATTCCCGTTCTTCAACTCATGATTGAAGCATCCTCAAATGTATGCTTTAAAATATACATATATGAAACAATACCAATCGTAATACCTTTATTTCAAATGGTAAAATTTTCATTATAAAATAGTTCCCTTTGATATATTTATTTTTTATTTTTAAAGTTTTATTTACTTATTAATTTTTTTTTAAGTTTTATGACACTCTTACACATGGCAGTCAATAAATGGTTAAGGAATTAAAATGAATCTGAGGGCCGGCCAAGTGGCGCATTGGTTAAGAGTTGGCTTGGGATGCCAGCTTTGAGCAGCAGGGCCCCCATTTGGATCCCACATGAGGGCCAGTGACGCTGCGCCCTCTACAGCTAAGATGGTGAACAACAGCTCAACCTGGAGCTGGGCTGCCGTGAGTCACCGGCAACGGCACAGGCTGCAGTGAAGCCGCTGCAGTGGGATACCATGAGCTACCGTGAGTGGCTGGCAGCCAGCGTGAGCTGCCAAGAGCCGTCGTGAGCAGCTGTCCAGTGGCCAGCGACTGATCTGCCTCACCTGGGAAGAGCACAATGATAATACCAACATGGGCCAATGAAGTGACGTCCTCCACAACT